ACATAGTGCAAGCAAAAATGCACGGTGCTGTTTAGTACTGGAAATTCTGTCTATGCTTCGGAAACTTGATCATTCCCAACCAATGAAATTTACAGGGGATCACCATAAGAATCAACCAACTCAACTGCTCTAGAATCTAACCCTATAACCAGACTACAGCCATTTGAGATAAATGCATAGCTGTTTTGATCTGTGAATAGAAGCTACTCTGTTATTCTGTTGCTTTGTCCCTCAAGACATATAAACATCGAAAATAGTTCTGGTTCTAATGAAAATAATCATAATTAATGTTAACAGGAAGGAAAAGCAACATTAGAGAATATTATTCACATGGAATGCTACATCAGTTTCACCACAACATTCCTTCTGCACAAACATTAAATGCACAATTACCAGATCGCCTTTTCAAACGATTCAATGAATTTCACATCCCATCAAATACTTGAAGATCAATTAGTCATGACTAGCTAGTGCAGAAACTTGCCTCATAGCTTGCTAAACCATCCTTTACATCACAATGTTTGTTACCACATATGAACTGCCCTGTCAGAAAACAGTATCAAGTCAATTCTAAACTCCAGCTCCATTCACCATTTGAATAAAATAATACATCATAGAATGCTGTCGGTAAAAATTTAAGCAAACAGGGTCAACCAAGAGGTTTTGGTTTGAATGTGGAACTTTTTTCTCTTGAAAGTGGAAGGGCCTCTTCTTCTTTTCCTTTCTCGAGAGTATGGAAATAATAAGAGTTAGGTGGAAGAAGGAAGATTAAAGAAACGCAGGGAGCTTAACATCCCAACCACTATTGAGACCAAATTGCCTATTGTTTTTCTAAAGGGCAACAATATAGTGGCATTTTAACTACTACTATGCATGAGAAATAATTTTGAAAAACTCAGAAACGACAGTTTTCCAATCAAGGGAAAAAGAGTTACATTGAAATTTTGAAGGACGCATACTACTACACGAGTTAAGCCCAAAATTTAATTCTGTAGATGTGTGACATTCTACTTATATTAGAAAGTAGAAGATTCACACACTACAAACATTCTTCCAATACCTTGGAAAGCAATATCAACTTCAAATGCACGCTCAAAGAACAAAAAGCTTGAGACTCAAGGGGAAGGTAAAAAGACAGGTTTTTAAGCGTCCAGATGAGGGGTACATTGGCAGTCAATGAAGAGAATAAAATTACCTTTACCAGATACGACTTCCTTCTCTGTCCTCCACCTTAGACCAATCTACAGGGAGAATTTTAAGAAACCAGAGAACATTATTTTTAACATGCTGGCTTGTTATTTACACCATGAAAAAGAATAATCATGTGCAAACAATGACTTAAAGGCTATACCTCCAAACACCGCATTAGAATCATAATATACAACTGTATGCTATTAAAAAAAATGAACTACAATGTATTATCTAGCATTTAAACAGACCTTTTGTTTTTGTAACCATTTCGTTAGAGAAAAAACATCATGACTTAACTTCAATTTCTTTCTTAAACTAAATAAACCTTCAGTTTCCTTATTACTCAAGCAAAATTGATAAACTCTGACAATTTCAATTGGACATGCAAAATCTAGATATAGCTGTCAAATTTTACCTTTTCTATTGATAACACATTTATGCAGAACAAAGACATTACCTTAACAATTTTGTATCTCGTTTAACTACTTACCTTACCACTCTTGTAATGTGACATGTCTGCTATGCAGTATCTTGAACGAGTTTAAGGCAATAATCAATTAAGCAATCAATGTCACCAGCATCAATAGGCTAAACAAGTTGATAACAATAAATTTCAATATTCAACCCAACTGAAGAAATAGCAGCAATTGGCAAAGGATACTCTTTAAACAGCTTGTCATAGTATCGCTTTACCAGCCTTTGCTCCCAAGATCGGTCCATATCATCTTCCTCAGATCTTATGAACCTATCATAAATGAATGATTCCAACAAATATTTACGTTAGAAATGCTGGTGCAATCTACCACATTAAAGAACAAGGACTACATCTTACATACCGGTACCCTTCTCTTAGGGTGTCTTGATCTGTTTTAACTGGGAGCTTGACATGTGAAGATTCTTGTCTACCATAAAAGTTAACTGCAACATAAAGCATTCATCAAGAGTCGCCAAAGCTGAATTATAAAGAAAAAACTAACAAGATTAATGACAAAAGCAAAAGGGGTACAAAATATTGAACAAGAAACAAAGTTGTACATATACCACAGTACCAAAAGACAAGAAACAGCAGACAACAAAATCCTAATGAAACAACACCATGGAATTAGGATTTAGAGAGAAAAATGTACACATTGATAAATCGGAAAGCTTAAAAGGTAAAATCTTATATGTGCACATGGACAAAAAAGCTTACACAACAAAATCTTCAAATGGCATTAATAATGAAGCGTCCAACATGGCTACAACGCATCTAATAACCCCAAAATGTACCACTAAGCATATGACTAATAGATACCTTCCCAGAGATGCTTACATAGCTCAGTTTTATAACAAATGGAGAAATGCGGTGTCATGAACAATCCCAAATGATAAAAGCAGTGACACTACTCCACAAGTTGATAGGATATGGCACCTACCATCAACGGAGGAGCTCCCTCGTCAACGTTAACAGAAATTCATATGCTTCACGGTTATATTAAAACAAAATATATAAAATAAAATAAAAATCCAAGGAATTTAATGTGTATGCATATTTGTATGGACAACTGTAGCCTCCTTTCCTTCTAATTGGAGGAGACTGTTCATCATCCATTTGCTCTAGGACATTAGGATTCAACAAATAAAGAGCTCACTATTTGTGAATGCTTCCTTTTGGTCCTAATTAGCTCCAATTCACTTAAAACATAAAAAAGTTCCAAACTTTGCCATTTCTTCAGAGTAGAAACCCAAATTCTATATTATGTGTGTGTGAATTGTATAATCGCACCGTAATCTTTGACGAACTTTTTGTGGCGGTCGTAAGCGTTGAGGCCGAGAATGTGAGCCTGGTACTGCCTGAAATCCCCCCAAAAAAACAAGAGAATAAATTGAAAATTTAAAGGACAATTGGACAGAGAGAAAGTCACAAAAGAGGGGAGAAAAGTACTGTTTTCTCTCTTCTCTGTCGAAGATTGCAGATTTTAAAGACCCAAACGACGCCATCGATTTCAATTTTCAGCTTCCGAGTTTCTTTCTTTTGCAGCAGTGAAACCCTAATTGACTGATTGGATCCCAAACCGAGTGGAGGCGGCAGAAGAAGATTTAAGGCGGTTGGATCGCCGACTCCGGCGCTTATATAGGAGGGACACTCTAGGAAGCCTGAGCTTTTGCACTCCTACCAGCGTTGTAGTATGCTTCTCCTTTTTTCCCTTTGGAAAATACCCTTCGCCTCATTACATATTTCGTGACAACTAACAATTTTTTTAGGGTTTTTATCTTTTCTTCTTTAAATTCTTGAATTTCGTCATTCAATTTGTTGTAGTTAGTATTGTTTCAAAATATTGAAAATTTTTATTATTTAAGAATGTGACTGTATAAATTAGTTTTTGTGATATCAATTCATAAAGCTGAGCTCATTTGCCTTCTTATCGTCCCTCTCTTACCTCACTCTAAAAAGAATTTGGGACAACAAACTATTCCGATCTACTTTGAAATGCGTAGTCTTTCAGTAACTATTCATCCTTAAAGGGAATTCCACTTCAAATCACTGTTAGAGACATTTGTTGGACTGAGTTTTTTTAAGCTGGAGTAAGACGATCATAATACAAGTACCTTAGAAGTTCGCTTGTGGACTCAACGTTTTCGAATCGGACCAAGTTGTCTAAATGGATCAATGGTGCCACCACACCCTCTAAAATGGTAGGTAGGTCATGCATTCCTTGCTGAGCTCAAACATTGCTTGCTCCACAAGATGTGGAAGCATGTTTGATTGGGATCAGATTGATTCCCTACCTTAAAACTACATTTAGTCTCATTATATCCTCTCAAATCATTTTTTTCACAATCGAAGCGTTTTCTCCGCATTTCGTCAAATGGACGTTAAATTAAAAGACACTAAGGACATTTTGTTTTTTTACAACAACTCTTGGCATCCAACTTGCCCGTTAAAACAATCTCAATTTCATCTTTAACAACTTCAGTTCAAACGTAAGGACTTTCCACTTAGTTACCTCCCACAAATGAGAGGATGGTTGACTATTGAGGGAGGTAATTATGGAGAAAAATCACTGGATTTGCATTAGAGTCATCAAAAATGTAATTGAGATTGTTTTAGCGGCAAAGTTGGAGATAAATAGTTGTATACAAAATGAAATGTTCATATTTTTTTTAGTATCGTTAATGGGTTATACAATTAGTTGTATGAGAGATCGAATCCGCATTAAGGAGGCATATTTGCTTTCTTTCATTATTTTAAAGTGTTATTTGACATTTAATTTAATGTCCATATGACAGAATAGACAAAACTAGGATGAAATTGCTAGATTTTAACTGTTCAAGTGGAGTACAGATCCTCTCCGGATCCAAAAAAAAGGGAGCTTAAGGATCAAATAATCCAGATCATTGAAATTTGATCCAAACGACTATAATTATTATAACTTTAGATGAATCTCTGTTTGTAGTCATTAGATCAAATTTTAATGATCCAGATCATTTGATCCTTAAGCTCCGTTTTTTTAGATCCGAAAAGGATCTTTACTCGTGCAAGTGGCAAAGTGAACAAAATCAATCTCACCAACGTAGACTAAATACAATTTATGGACCAAATCAACAAATAAGCCAAACAGTATAAGTAAAAGTTGTACTTTCACCCTGCATAATTACATTTTCTATATTTTATTTTGTGACTTTTATTATTAAAACAATTTTATAGCACATAATTTTTTGAGGAAATTTTATAACATGAAATTATTGAGGTAGCTGATGTGTCTTCTTCTACAACTAATGCACCTCTGTCTCTAACAGCGTCGGTGGTAGTGAGAGAGTCTAAAGGGCTTCAAGTTGTTCCTCTGTCCCTTTCGTCCCTCTCAAGTCTTAAGCCATTTTCTCCTCTCCCACTCCTACACATTATATAAATATTTACAGTTATATACAGACTGAGACGCTTTTTAGAGAGAGAGAGAGAGCTGTGATTGGAGTTGTGGATGTCTGCTTCAGTGTATTAATTTGATCACTCTCTCTTTTGATTTTTGGGATCCAAGCAGTGAACTTTTCATCTGTGTTTTTTCCAATTTGTCTAATTTCTGAGATCTGCTGGAGAATTGGATCGATTTGGGTTTATTTTCAATTGGGTTTCCTGGATTTGAAGAATTGGCGATAAAGATCGGTTCTTTTGATCTTAAGGTATGGTTTCTGGTTGGATTTAAGTTTTGGTCCTTTTTTGTTTTACATTATTATTCGGCTTTATGTTGTTCTTACTTTAAAAATTAGATTTGGAAATGTTGACTGTGCTGTTCTCCACTGGATATCACTTATTTCAATCTGTTTGGTTGCCGAGAAAACCGGGGACGAAAATCGTGTTTTTATTTGCCACAGTTGAATAATATATTCAGTGATCTATGGTGTAGAAAATGCTTGCTGAAAGGTGGTAAAATCTGATTTTTTTGTTTTTTTTTTTTTGACCTTCCCTTTGTGCATAATCCAGATCTTGGGATTTTGGAGTGGAAAAAAATTACTGCGATCTTAGACATGCATAGATCTTGTTGAGATTGAACAAGAATTTTGAGCCATTGTACACATCTGAGCAAAGGAGAAGGTGGCAATGGAGTCAGAAGGAGAAACTGCGGTAAGCATCATAAGCATTCTATTGGTTTTGCAATTTTCCCTTTGTTTGATAAGAAATTGGGAAAAAGTGACAGGTGTTCCCTTGCTGAGTGAAATACTTGAATGGGTAGTGCTGCGATTTCAGTTCCTGAGTGATGAAAGCTTTGAAAGTTTCTGTCTGTCTTCACCACATTTTCCTAGCAAACAAATGGGGCATTAGATTCATTAAGGGTATGTTTGCGCGAGGGGCTTCCAATTTCTAATAGATTTAGGTAAAGTGGTGAAGAAATGAATCACAAAAAGTTGGATAGGAGTGATTAGAAATGCACAACATGAAACCCATAGAACACTCATGCTTTTGTAGTACTCATGTGATGCATTTCTAATCTATCTAATCTAACCTTTTGCGTTCCATTTTTTTCATCACTTTACCTAAAACCCTTAGAATTTGAGAGTCTGTCACCCAAACATACCTAAAGATTTTGACTATTTCCTGGGCAGTGACCTTGTCTTTGTTTTGGGGGAGGATGGGGGATTTTGAGTTTTTCAAATTGATGTTGTAATTAAGTTTGGTTGTTCACTACACTATCACGATTAGTACGTGCTCCACAACACCTGTCATTGCAGCCATTGTCAATGCATTTTACTAAACTTTGTCTATATGAATGATTAACTACTTAGGCAAAGCCCATGAAGAGCATCGGGGGTAAGGTCTGCCAGATCTGTGGGGATAATGTTGGGAAGACTGCAGATGGGGAACCATTCATTGCCTGCGATGTCTGTGCCTTTCCTGTTTGCAGGCCATGCTATGAGTATGAGAGGAAGGATGGGAATCAGTCTTGCCCTCAATGCAAAACCAGATACAAGAGGCACAAAGGTTTTTAAGACTTGTAATTACTTTAATTTCATTATTTTCAATATCATGATTTAGTGAAGTTGTTAGCTAATCTTCATATGTTTAGTTGCTTATAAATATTGCAATCACAAATACTTCTAAAAAGGCCACATTACTTGAATTTTATAAAATGTTGGTAATTCTCTTTGGCTACTTTATGGGAAAGAAATTTTCATCAGAACTTGAATTTATGCAATGTTGCAAGACCTTGATTGTTTTTATCAAACCCTTAATGTATGTAATCACTTCTTATTTTTGCGTGGTTGTTTTCAGGAAGCCCTGCAATTCTTGGTGATAGAGAAGAGGATGCTGTTGCTGATGATGATACCAGTGATTTCAACTATACTTCAGAAAATCAAAACGAGAAGCAAAAGATTGCAGAACGCATGCTAAGCTGGCATATGACATATGGCCGGGGAGAGGATGTTTCAGCCCCAAATTATGATAAAGAGGTTTCTCACAATCACATCCCTCTACTCGCTAGTGGCCAAGAGGTAGGCCAAAATACTTTTGGAAATCTACTTTCATTCTTTATGAAGAGCGTTTCTGGAATTTACCCTCTGCAAATTGCCAATTTTTAGGTTTCCGGAGAACTGTCTGCCGCTTCACCAGAGCGCCTTTCGATGGCATCTCCTGGAGTTGGTCCTGGAAAGCGTGCCCATCATCATTCTTATGGATCAGATGTTAATCAATCCCGTATGTCTCTCTGCACATTTGTGACATGTTCTCAGTCTCTATATGTGTTCCTGCCAGTATTGTCTCAAGGTCAATTATATTCTTTTTGCAGCTAATATAAGGGTTGTGGATCCTGTGAGGGAGTTTGGTTCTCCCGGGATAGGAAATGTAGCATGGAAAGAGAGAGTGGATGGCTGGAAGATGAAGCAAGAGAAGAATGTCATTCCAATGAGCACTGGCCAAGCTACTTCAGAAAGAGGCGGTGGAGATATTGATGCCAGATCTGATGTGATTGTGGACGACTCCTTATTGTAGGTTCTGCCACATTTTCTTTGTGGTTATAGTTAGCCTGCTTTTGTATCTGGTTTTGTTAATAGTTTTGATTGTCAAAATAGAGAAATTTAAACTTCTTGTCTTGGTGGCATAAGTACTACCGCCACGAGACAGTTTAAAATCTAATAATATATGGAGAGGCTAGGAAAACCTTCACTATAGCAGTATTTGTGCACATAATGCTCAGTCTTACACTTGATTGACACCAGCAATGATCTGGTTGTCAACGACTCGTTATTGTGGGTTTTCTCTTGATTAAACTGCAAAGTTTCTTTTTACTCTTTGTTAACAATTTTTAGCATGGCTTAGAACCTTAAAAGTTGTGACTTATCTTGTTTACATAAGCTTTCCTGCTACTAGAAAAGTCAAAATCTAAAACTGTGTGAGGCTAGGCTGGTATGAGGCAAACCTTTGTTATAGCAGTAGTTATGAACATACTACATATTGCTCTGTAGCACTGTTGTTTTCTGTCACTTAAATTTGATTGACATTTTTTTTCTTTGTTTTCAAATTACATTGTAGCAAGAGTTGATTTCCATGTGGATGCTCTTTCTGTTTTGCAGGAATGATGAAGCTAGGCAGCCTCTCTCCAGAAAGGTCTCGATTCCATCTTCTAGAATAAATCCTTACAGAATGGTCATTGTTCTGCGGCTTATTATTCTGTGCATTTTCTTGCACTATCGAATAACAAATCCTGTGCAAAATGCCTATGCTCTGTGGCTGATATCAGTCATTTGTGAGATTTGGTTTGCAATTTCCTGGATTCTTGATCAGTTCCCAAAGTGGCTCCCTGTAAATCGTGAAACATATCTTGACAGACTTTCTTTGAGGTGGGAAAATTTCTTTGTGAATACCCTCGGTTACATAAATGATTAAATTCGTTTGAAAATGTCAATTAGCAGTGTCATTTCAGATTTGTTTGCCCTTGTATTTTGAGTTTAATTCCTATTTCATTTGAGTTGCAGATATGACCGAGAAGGAGAACCATCAAACTTAGCTGCTGTTGACATCTTTGTCAGTACTGTTGATCCATTGAAGGAGCCTCCTATGGTGACAGCAAATACTGTGCTATCTATTCTTGCAGTTGACTACCCGGTTGACAAGGTTTCTTGCTATGTTTCTGATGATGGAGCTGCAATGTTGACGTTTGAAGCTCTGTCTGAAACTTCAGAATTTGCTAGGAAATGGGTCCCTTTCTGCAAGAAGTATGCTATTGAGCCTCGGGCTCCTGAATGGTACTTTTCACAGAAGATTGATTACTTAAAGGATAAAGTTCAACCATCATTCGTCAAAGAGCGTAGAGCAATGAAGGTAGGCCCTTAGCGTAAACATCTAAAACACTCTGCCCCATTACAAAGGTGCTCCTCCTCACTCGTAGTCTTTCCTTTTTGGTTTCAGAGAGAATACGAAGAATTTAAAGTTCGTGTTAACGGGCTTGTTGCAAAGGCCACAAAAATACCCGAAGAAGGATGGATCATGCAAGATGGTACCCCATGGCCTGGAAATAATACTAGAGACCATCCAGGAATGATTCAGGTGGATATATCTTATGTGACAGATCTCTTTAAGCTATGGGAGATAGTTATTGAAGTTGATACTGACTAGTTGACGCTTGTATGGAATACTGAAGCTGAGTATAAAATATATGATTTCGTTTTGTACTAAGATCTGTATTTATCTTTCCACTTTCAGGTTTTCTTAGGCCAAAGTGGAGGGCTCGATACTGATGGTAATGAACTGCCACGTTTAGTCTATGTTTCTCGTGAAAAGCGTCCAGGTTTCCAACATCACAAGAAGGCTGGTGCTATGAATGCACTTGTGAGTATTTTGTATTTTTATGTTCTAGAGTTGGTTTATCACTTTATCTCTGTAGAATTAGGTTTTTTTCTTCATCTGATGCCAATGAAACTCTCTTGCAGGTTCGGGTATCTGCAGTCCTCACTAACGGACCTTTCCTGTTGAATCTTGATTGTGATCATTACATCAACAACAGTAAGGCCTTGAGGGAAGCTATGTGCTTTCTAATGGATCCTAACCTTGGGAAAAATGTGTGTTATGTTCAGTTCCCACAGAGGTTTGATGGTATTGATAGAAACGATCGATATGCCAATCGTAACACTGTTTTCTTTGATGTAAGTTCTCTATCCTTGTAGTAACCACAGAAGACAGTTACTTATTTCACCATGGGCTTGCATAGATTGATTAATATGTTGTCCGTTTCCTTCTGGATTTCAGATTAACTTGAGGGGTTTAGATGGTATTCAAGGGCCAGTTTATGTGGGTACTGGATGTGTCTTCAATAGAACAGCTTTGTATGGTTACGAACCTCCTGTCAAACCTAAGCATAAGAAAACTGGAGTTCTATCTTCACTTTGTGGTGGATCACGGAAGAAGGGTTCAAAATCAAGTAAAAAGGGATCGGACAAAAAGAAATCAAATAAGAATGTCGATCCTACTGTGCCAATTTTCAGTCTAGAGGATATTGAAGAGGGGGTGGAAGGTAATTTGAATATCCGTTTTGTATCTTTAGTTTGTTCATATTTCATTTGTATATAATGGAGGCAGAGTACAATACATATAATGCCTACTTCCAGGTGGCATAAATAATGAGTCAATGCAGGAGATTTTTCTTTCTCTTCCTGTTATTAATTTTATTAGTTGGAACACTCAACGTACATTTTATTCAACATCAGGTGCTGGATTTGACGATGAGAAGTCATTATTGATGTCACAAATGAGCCTAGAAAAGAGGTTCGGCCAGTCTTCTGTTTTTGTTGCCTCTACACTGATGGAGAATGGCGGTGTTCCTCAATCTGCAACACCAGAAACTCTACTTAAAGAAGCTATTCATGTTATCAGCTGTGGATATGAAGACAAATCTGATTGGGGAAACGAGGTATGCCATTATTTTTAATGCTTCTGTTACCTTATGCAGTATCCTTTTATTTCCAATGCAACGAGGAAAGAATAACAAATGTTGCTTAGTATCACCTTTGAAATTCGTTTGTCTAGACATTTACATAATTAAGCTGCCTTAGTGTAATTTTGTGTGGTTGAAATATGCTGCTGACTGTGAGTCTCTTTGACACTTCAAATTTCATCAACTTTCATATAAATTCTGATTCTTCCTCCTGCTTTTTATATGTAATTTCTAAGGATTTTCAGTAGCAGTCATTGGTTTAGATTGGACTTCGATGGCCTACTTTTATTTTCTGTTCCCTGTTGTCATTTTTTCTTCACTCTTAAGAGGATGATTATTTGTCTCCCACAGATTGGATGGATCTATGGTTCTGTCACAGAAGATATTCTTACAGGATTCAAGATGCATGCCCGCGGGTGGAGGTCTATATACTGCATGCCTAAGCTCCCAGCCTTTAAAGGGTCTGCTCCTATTAATCTTTCAGATCGTCTGAACCAAGTGCTTCGATGGGCTTTGGGATCTGTGGAAATTCTTCTTAGTCGGCATTGTCCTATCTGGTATGGTTACAGTGGGAGGCTAAAATGGCTGGAGAGATTTGCGTATGTGAACACTACCATTTACCCAATCACTTCCATACCTCTTCTCATGTACTGTACACTGCCGGCTGTCTGTCTTCTTACCAACAAATTTATCATCCCACAGGTTCGTTACATCACAATAATTGCCCTGTGTCTTTAATTTTTTCTTGTGGTCTTATAGAGCACTGCTTCTATGTGATCGTTTAGCAAAACCTGCTGTTTTAATAGGTTCGGAAGGCAGTGATAGATTTTCTTTGTTTTATGAATTGAGGAGCCTCTCAATTCACCATAATAAATATACTTTTCCCGAAACCATGACATAGGATATCTATATATTGATAAGATATATAATTTTTCCCGTAGTTCATGCAGATTTATTATAATCTCAATCTGAAATTTTGTTAAAAGACTTGTGTAAAAATTCACTAAATTTGGGCTTATTCTGGTTGCAGATTAGCAACCTTGCGAGTATATGGTTTATCTCCCTCTTTCTTTCTATCTTTGCAACCGGTATTCTAGAGATGAGGTGGAGTGGTGTTGGAATCGATGAGTGGTGGAGAAATGAACAGTTTTGGGTTATTGGTGGTGTTTCTGCCCATCTGTTTGCGGTTGTCCAAGGTCTCCTCAAAGTACTTGCTGGTATTGACACCAACTTCACTGTCACCTCCAAGGCATCAGACGAAGACGGGGACTTTAATGAACTCTACATGTTTAAATGGACTACCCTTCTCATCCCACCAACGACTCTCCTCATCATAAACTTGGTGGGGGTTGTTGCAGGTATATCGTATGCCGTCAACAGTGGTTACCAATCATGGGGTCCCCTCTTTGGTAAGCTCTTCTTTGCCTTTTGGGTGATTGTCCATTTGTATCCATTCCTCAAGGGTCTCATGGGGCGCCAGAACCGTACGCCCACCATTGTAATCGTGTGGTCGATTCTCCTTGCTTCAATTTTCTCATTGTTGTGGGTGAGGGTTGATCCCTTTACCACGAGAGTCACCGGTCCAGATATTGAGGAGTGTGGAATCAACTGCTAGACTGAGGAACGACAATGTTACTTGTTCACATTCAAATTTTCTTTGTTCGTTCGCCCAAGTAAAGCTCGAGAGGTGGGAGTCAATAATATTTTGTTCTGATGTTGTTTCTGTGAACTGGTTTGTCCATTCGAAGATTGCACTGTTTGTAGATGATACGAGGTGAACGAAGAACGTGTTTCGTTGTAATGTAAAAGGGTTGAATTTCATGTAAAATTTGAACATAAATAGCCAACATATTTATGAGAGAGCTGAAAACTGTCACTGAAACAGTAATTTATCATACTTTTAAGCCCTCCAATTCCATGGCAACCTTTCTCCTATACTCATACAATCATATTCTAAGTTTCTAACAAGTGACTATTTCAGTTATGTGAATAGTTTTGCTGGCCGCCTATTAAGTGATGGTGATGAACTAGTTCATTAGTTCATTGATTGCCGTTAGATGATTGAGTTTGAGTTTTGAAATTTGTGTGGCGAATGGATTACGTTAAATTAATGACCGCAATTAATAGGGCAGTCAGCATCACTAGATTCACCAATCCTCATGCAATCTTGTGTACGGCTTTAACTGGCGAACTCGAACCAAAACAATTACCTTGCCTAGTTACTCGATTGAGTTATGTCAATATATAATTGCTTATATTCCTATCTTTTTTGGAAAAATAATTCAACTTATATTATCGATAATATCGCGATATTATCCCGAAAACCATTTGGATATTGAAAAAAAAATCGGTTCCCCTAAAAACCGATAATATCGATGATATATCGCCGATATTATCGGCATTTCGGACCATGGTGTGAAGCGAAGAAAGAGCAATGTAAACACCAAAATTTCGGTGAAATAAATGTTCACCAACATATCAAATTTCAACATGTCAGGGCTGACATGACATACATCATGCATCTCACAAATTGTACACATGAACAAGTCATCAAGGGTGACACATGTTGAAATTTGGCGAAAACTAATTAAGGAATAATTTTTATTAATATTTGATTAATTTTGATTTAAATAATACAAATTAGTTGATTTAAATTTAATGTGACTAATTATTTGATGAAGTCAAATCACGAACCAAGTCCAAAATCAAGTCTTGGTTCTTTCATCAATTAATCAAGTCCAATATCAAGATCAAATTCAACTGTATGCAAGACTTGGAGAGCATATAAATATGAGGCTTCAGGACAAAAAAATGGTCAGAAGTTTATCCTCTCCCAGACACTCAAATTCTCAAGCCTCAAATAGTCTTAAACTTCCAGAAGACTCATAAAACTCACTGCGCTCTTCGTCACTCTCGTGAACCACCAAGCCCCCTACACGTGAATGTACCTCCATTGCCGAGAGCATAAACCTTGCGACATCCATTCATGCAAGATCAAGTCATCGCGACACCTGGATTAACCACATACTCTACACACCAGAGATCGAATAAGAGGATTCAACTTTGTAAACAAAGATTGTAACACTAAACACTCACTAATACAAATTCTTTATTTTGTACATGTGTTTTTGTTTAATTTGTCACAGAAATTTTGTGTTTACAAGCAACTCGCTTGATCAAAAAGCCTCGGCCATAGGATTATACTTGCCTCCACCTTGATAGATATATGTATAATTGTAACTGTTCAAATTTTAATTATTGTTTTATAATTATTTGAGTGTTGTGGCCTATATTTAATTGAGGAGAGAGAGAGGGAACATAGGAAGAGAGAAAGAGAGATGGAGAATAGGCTTAAGGACTTATGTGTGTTAATTCCCCCAACCTCCTTTATTTATAAAAATAAAGAGGAGAGAAACTTACTCTTCAAGTAATACAAAGTTTAATAGAAAAGATCTTCTAGATCCAGAAGAATTCTTAATCTATTTCTGCTTAGGATTGTTGTGCGGAAGTGTCAAATATGAAACCAATAACCTATTACGACAAAATATGCAAAGACAAACAACCCAAAATGACACAAGAATTTATACTGGTTTGATGTAAGCCTACGTCTAATTCGAAGATGGCAAGGAAATTCCACTAATAATTAAAATGAAGGTTATAAATTTAGTTTCTGTTGATCCTAAAAACTACTAAACCTACGTGGCGCACATGCCAAATAATTAGTAAGCTAACCATGTCATTCGGTTGTATGCGGGGCGTGCCAACTCGTCGACCGAGCTCGGCCGAGGAGTAAAATTTGTTGATGTTGTGTTGGGTGCGCGGCTGACTTCTCGATTGTACGACTGCGGCGGAGGAAGGAATACGCCTCGGCCTTCAGGTTCTAGAACTTGAAGACAAAGCTACTAGTTCTGCGAAGTTCACAAATCGTCGACGCCAAATTCGATCACTGTGATTATATTCTTAAGAGTATAAGCACGCCGAATCGACACCAAAGTATAAGGACACAAGTATTCAAAACGAATATACGTCTTGATTATGAAAGTGGTTCGACCGTCAGAATGCTGAACTCTAAAACCTACTTGTGAATAACCAATCATAAACGACTCGGCGTTCAATGTGCCGAGTATAATAACTTGTAATACCTCGCTTCGCCGAGAAGGCTAATGAGACGACCTCTGCCGATAAGGATTCAAAAATTCTTCTCGACCGAGACTTTGATAGGTAACCAGTCGGCCATGTTGCAATGTTGTTTATCCAAACTGAAGATGCTCCACAGTCGGCTGATTCTACGTCAACAGTGTTGTTTATCGAAACTGAAGATGTTCGCCAGTTGCCTTCACAGTGCTGTTTATCTAAACTGAAGATGCGTCGATGAAAAGAAGAAAACAAAAATCTCAAGGTTGTTAAGAGGTTTCACATATAGCGAGAGAATGCGTAGGGCAATTTGTGTGTTGAATTGGAGGTCCTTCATGCGTTGCCATTGCCTTTGCATTTATAGGAACATATTTTTTGTTTGGCACGTACGGCCTGGATCATAAGCAGAAACCGACTAAAACTCAAACTGATCCGTAGCATAGGCTTAAAGCCTATCTTCAAATGGTTGACTTTTCAAAGCTAATAAAAACCTAAATAGGCTTATCACATCACATCAAAACTCCATCAGTAGCCTTGCTTTATCCCATTAAGCTGTCATTCATAACCAAATACTCCCAATGCAAACTATAAAGCTATCTTTCCCACGACACCTGTGCAACCATGCATGCAATTTTATTGCAATATCGGCTAATCACTTGAGATGCCATCTTCCATCAAAATACCACTTTGCACAGGAGTCCTAATTATGCATGTGTCACGTGGCCAAAGCAATACCACATATGCAAATCGTATCCCATTATCTTTGCATGTTGTTATCTGATGCCATGCCTTAATGCATATCCCTATATTCCATCACCATTCAAATCAATTGGGATTTAGACAAATATTAGGTTTAAATAATTTAATATATTACTAAGAGATAATATCATAATTAAAATTACAGTATTATTTCTCAATAATAATTGAAAATCATTTCAACCACTTTGTTGGTCTAAAATTCTGCTCATTCAACGACCTCAATTACTCAGGCCGATAGTGTAAAAATGGGTCCAAACATTGCCCCCCAGTTCCTTAAATTTCGGCTCGTAAGCCCGAATGGTTAAGGAAATTAATTGTTCGTAATTGGGGAGCCTTCTCCTGACCATTGGATGAAATATATATTATTTCTCATTATATATATATATTGCTTGAGGGGAGGGATCCCATTTTTTTCAAAAAAATGGGGAGCCTTCTCCTGACCATTGGATGAAATGAGCGGTTAAGATTAAATAGCTGATATATATTAGATTTCTTTTTCCTTTTTCTTTTCTAGTTCCCGCCTCTTCCTTGCGACACAGAGCTTCGCACGAACAGAGCTACGCACCAGAGCTTCGCACCAGCCAAATCACAGGTCATTGCGAATAACCTTTGAGATTTCAGGTATGGGTCTCCTCCTCATTCACTATTTTAGAAGATTAATTTGAAATTTGGGTTGAACAATTGGGGTTTTTTCTGATTCGGGAAAGACAAGCAGCAGGTAAGGGATGTGAATGAGACATTTTGCTTCTGTTGCTTTGAGATTTCAGGCGATAGCCTCTAACCTTTGAGATTTTAGGTATTGGTCTCCTCCTCATTCACTATTTTAGGTGATTCATTTGGAATTTGGGTTGAACAATTGAGGTTTATGTTTTTCAAATTCTAAACACAAAAACCTATTGCGTTCTGATTCGGGATGGTTCTGGTTTCAAATGGGTCCATAAATTTGGTGGTTTTCTTTCGGGTTTTAGGGTAAAGACCTTTTGAGTGCTAATTCAAATTGGTTACAGATTTGGATGGACTGAATTAATAGAGTATGAACTCGGGACCTTATAACCTTTTGGGTTTTGATTTTGAAGGGAAAGCCCCCGATTGGTAAGGACTTGCTATTGAAGCTGCCATTTTCATTACTAATTAAATTGTTTGCCATTTGCTTTTACTTAAAAATTGTTTGCCATTTGCTTTTACTTAAATAATGGTGATGAACTATTTATATGTGTTTGACTGCAGTGTGACATGTGATGGCCATGGCAGTTGACAAGTGAGTGATCTTAATTGTGAAAACCTTTTTTAGTATGCAGGGTTGGATATTGACAAGTGAGTGATTCTTCTCTTCCATTCTTTGCTGGCCTTTGTTTAGTTAGTACTACGGTGGAAATTACGAGGTTGTCTTGTTATCTTTTCAGTCTTCAAAACTTGGAGTGCTGTCTGTTTGTCCTCTTTCCATATTTCTCATGAGTGATCTTCTTGGCCGTTTTTCATCTTATGTAAATTAGTTTTAAGGCCTTCTCCTTATATGCAAATTGACGTAGAACTATCATCTGTTTAGTTACATGCTTGTAGAAGGTCTTGGTCTGTCTGGTATTGTGTCAATATTGTTCACATGAATGGTAAGTGGAAGAACTGTACATTTTTTCTTTTTAATATATTCTACGGTAAACCTGTGCCATGGACAAATTGGTGTTCTGTTTTAAGTCATGAAGCATTATACGTATTCAAATTTATCAGAAAACCCTCAAAGATTTGTTTCTTACTTTTTCCATTTGATATCATCACTAGCGGAGACGTTTGTGTAAGTGAGCTTTTCATTGTCTTTATCACATATCAACTATTTAAGCTGTTATTTACACATGACACACCACGCTTGTTTTGAAATGAAAACCTTAATTTTCAGGTTTATATACATGGGCTTTGATATTGCCATGGAACCTCATTAACACCATGCAAATTAGGAACAAAAACAAAATGAGATCAGCTTCCTATGGACAATGAGTGCTCCTCATTCTGCAAGTTCATGGCCAATTCCTCAAAATTCATAGAATAAACTTATGCAAAACAGAGGAACCTCATTAACATCATGCAAATTAGGAACAAAAAAATGAGATCAGCTTCCTATAGACAATGAGTGTTGCTCATTCTGCAATTAACCAAAATAGAAATCATAAAAATGTTGATTAACAATAATAATGCTATTATACATCATAGACAACAAACGCATTTCAACTATTGATATATTAATTGCACGATATACATACAAAAACACGCGGAGTATGTATTTTTACCGATTGTGGAGCTCCGGACAATTTCTTTTGTCATGATTAACTCCATATTGCCCACACCCATGACAAAGGTTACCATTAACCCTCTTCTTGCATTTTCCTTTCTCTTTTCCCTTTTTAAGTTTTTTTCCAGATCCTTTGGTCTTAACAGGATTAGGTTCAAGAAAACCAACATCATCTACTATCGATTTTCTTTTTGCACGACATTCCATATCTCCTTTGGTTGTAGAAGGTTCCACATTTCATTGGTACCACCAACCAATGGCTTAATCTTCTCATTCACAACATCCATTGCCTCACAAAAGAGTTTACTTGCCTCATCATTTAGAATGACTTTATCAATCAAATGCGAATATTGTTGGAATAATTTACCACGCCTTTTAAGTACAGATTTGTTGACAGATATCTCCACATTAGAAACTGTAACCGAAGATTTTGCAGATTTAGTCCATCTCTTCAAAATGTATTCATCTGGCAATATATGAAATTAACGTATTTTATGCAAATATGCCAAAAGATGGCTGCATGGGATTCCTGAACTATCAAATTGTTTGTAGCTACATGATGCAAAATCCCTGGATTTTTCATACAAAATTTCACGAACTCTACCCTTTTCGTCATCAATGGGCAAAACTTTAAACATGCTGCAAGTATCATTTTCGCTTGTAAGCTCAATATTATAGCTGTAACTTTCCCACAACTGCTCTTGAAAATCAAGGTAAGAGCTACGTGTATAAATATTGGCCATTTGCGCATCCATCTTAATAGGGCATTTGAGTTTTGGCCTCTCGTTCAAATCAATATGATCTGCCTTCAACTCCGAATGGCGTTGGCGTGCCAATGCCCTATTATAATTAACCATAAACTCGAGGAATGAGTTGTTCTTGGAAACATATTTCTTTAGAAATAAATGTCCATTCTCAGCTTTCTGACTAGTTGAGCAATTTGCAGAAAAAACATGATTAACATAGGTTGGAACCCAAGTAGATCGAATCCTATATATCGATTGCAACCAGCCATTACCAGATAATCCACTTTTTGAAACAACAGCCATCCATTTCACATCAAACTCCTCTATAGTCTCTGACTCCCAAATACATGCTTTGAAATCTAAATAATGATCTTTGTATTTCATCGGAGGAAGCTTGCTCGAGAACTTATCCAAAATATGCCACGTACAGAATCTGTGAAACGTGTTTGGAAAACAGTAAGGAATGGCTTTTGTCATTGCCAGATCTTGATCAGTAATAATCATTTTTGGAGCATCACCTGGCATGGCATTCAAAAATTCTCTAAATAACCAAATGAATGAATCTATCGTCTCGTCACTTAGAAGGCACCAGCCAAAACGATTGTTTGACCATGATTGTTTACACTCATGAACGGGGCAAATATCATACTATACCGATTGGTGTTGTATGTAGTGTCAAAAATGACCACATCACCATAAAACTTGTATGCTTGCCTAGAACTTGCATCGGCCCAAAAACATTGAGTAATCTTGTGTTCTTCATCTACTTGAATCTTGAATGTGAATTCAGAATTTCTTTCTTGCTCTAGCAAAAAATGATCATGCAACATTTTTCCATCATGCCCCTTCATCTTATTTCGCACCTTGCTTCTGTAGTTATATAAATCTTTTTGTGTACAACCAACATTTTCAATTCCACCTACCTGCAATCCAAGAATGTTAAATTGTTTGTGTGGAGGTATGTTTGCTATGTCTAGCTGATCAGCTAATATTGTATGACACTTAGTAACCTTGCGATGAGACTTTAGCAAGTGGCGTCTTCGTGGGGATGTCATTGGATGATTATGGCCCTCGTGAAATATGGTGACTGCATACCCACCAAGTTTAGATCTCACAACTATCAATCTTGCTTTACAACCTTTTTTGGTTAATCCACGATGCTTTTGTTCGTCACCAATCCATTCTTTTGTATACTTCCCTCTTTGTTGCACACAAACTCCTTTCTCATGATCTCACCATCCTTATTTTTCTTACTTGAATGCATTCGGACACTAAACCCAGCCTCCATTGCATAGTTGTTGTAAAATTCAATCACTTCGTCTAATGTTTCGAAATATTGACCTATGGTAGGCTTGAACTCATCTGTTACTTGAGGATAGAAAAAACAAATACCAGCTACAATTTCTGATTGATTTTCCATTGGAACTTGCATTTCATAAGCTTCCATAACTTGAACAGGCATTTCATCAGCTCCCATAACTTTAATAGTCATCTCATTAGCTTCCATAGCCTCCATAACTTGATTAGGCATTTCATTAGTTCTCGTAACTTCAATAGCCATCTCATTAGCTTCCATAACTTAAACATGAACATTAGAACAATCAAACATCCACACCAAAAAGAATAATAAAATGCATCAACAAAACTTGAAAAGAAGAACAAAACTCAAAATTTTCAAGAAAAATCTGTAACCAATTTGAATTAGAACTCAAAAGGTCTTTACCCTAAAACCCTAAAGAAAACCACTCAAATTATCCACTGCCTCTCGATTTTCAGTGAACTGTCTACGTGAGTAATGCTTTTCCACACCAAAAAGAATAATAAAAAGCATCAAAAACAGTTTTGCATACCTGCTGCTTATCTTTCAACGTTATAAGATGAGTGAATCACAAAGGTTAGAGGCGATGTCTTGAAATCTCAAAGCAACAGAAGCAAAATGTCTCATTCGCCTCCCCTACATGTTGCTTGTCTTTCCCGAATCAGAAAAAAACCCTAATTGTTCAACCCAAATTTCAAATTAATCATCTAAAATAATGAATGAGGAGGAGACCTATACCTGAAATCTCAAAGGTTATTCGCGATGGCCTGTGATTTGGCTGGTGCAAAGCTCTGGTGCGAAGCTCTGTTCGTGTGAAGCTCTGTGTTGCAAGGAAGAAGCGGGAACCAGAAAAGAAAAAGGAAAAAGAAATTTGATATATATCAGATATTTAATCTCAACCACTCAGTTCATCCAATGGTCAGGAGAAGGCTCCCCATTTTTTTGAAAAAATGGGGATCCCTCCCCTTAAGCAATATATATATATATATATATATATATTTTGCGGGCTGAATGACTTCATGGTCAAGAACTATATTTCCTACAGGCCGAATTACCTTATGATAACCTTTGCCGAGCTCGGCAAACAGTCGGCTATATATACCGACCAAGCAAATAGTTGGCTAGCATACTCTTATCCACCATGTTGCGTGCATGCATTGAATTGAATGGCTCGGCGTAATATATCTTTTGGCCGAACTCGCCCAACGATACTGTTAAGAATCCATGAACTTGTATTTGAATCCAATGATTCTTTTGGCCGAGCTCACCCTACACAATCGAATGATTAATTTTTTTTATTTTTTTATTTTTATTTTTTATATATATGAGGGCTTCAATGCTCATTGCCCCCCTATTTTCTTAAGTATCGGCCAAGGGGCCGAATGGTTAAGAAAATAATTTAGCAAATGCATAGAAAAGTGGCCGTACTATAAAGTGGAGAAGGCCAACGATGTTTTATTCCAAGCCAAAGGCTTTTTGTATCAAAACTTTCACTTTGAATTTTTGCAAGGCCGAATAAAATAATATTTCCAAATATGTTTGACTTGACGAAAGATTTTTTATCGGCCGCCGAATGTGTTGAACAATTATTATGCCCCCTAGGCATAATAATTTCGTCAATTTTGGCTTTTAACTTAAATAACTTAGCCGAATCGAATATCTCTATATCGGCTTTATCGCCAATAATCATATTGATTGGCGTGGTTTTTTCGGCTAGGCCCATGTCTCGGCCTTGTTCGTCATTGGAGCACTCATCTGACGAATCATTTTCTAAGTCGATTTGTGGCTCAGAAACATGAACTTTTGCTTCTAGGCCTACCATAATTTCAGTCTCGACTGAAAAAACAGGTGGCCTAGGTTCTTTTTTTACTATCTCAACAATGTTCTGAGGCCAACTTTTAATTGTGGCCGGAGCGAAAAATTGCCCCCCAGCCTTCTGAGAGAAAGACTTTTGCCTTTCTTTATTTTCTTCAATGATCTGGCCAAGGAGTTGTTGCTCGACAATTTCCTTGAATAGGCGCCAAATCTCATTGTGATCTTCATATATCATGTGAACTTCGTAGTTTTAACATTGGGTCCCACTGGGCGTGCCAAAATGTTGACCCTAAAAACTAGTAAACCTACGTGGCGCGCATGCCGAATAATTCGTAAGCTAACTACGTCATTCGGTTGTATGCGGAGCGTGCCAACTCGTTGGCCGAGCTCGACCGAGGAGTAAAATTTGTTGATGTTGCGTTGGGTGCGCGGTTGACTTCTCGATCGTGCAACTGGGGCCGAGGAAAGAACACGCCTGGCCTTCAGGTTCTAGAGCTTGAAGACAAAGCTACTAGTTTTGCGAAGTTCACAAATCGTCGGCGCCGGATTCGGTCATTGTGATTATATTCGCAAGAGTATAAGCACGCCGAATCGACACCAAAGTATAAGGACACAAGTATTCAAAACAAATATACGTCTTGATTATGAAAGTGGTTCGGTCGTCAGAATGCCGAACTCTAAAACCTACTTGCGAATAACCAATCATAAACGACTCGGCGTTCAATGTGCCGAGTATAATAACTTGTAACACCTCGCTTCGCCGAGAAGGCTAACGAGACGACCTCTGCCGATAAGGATTCAAAAATCCTTCTCGACCAAGACTTTGATAGGTAACCAGTCGGCCATGTCGCAGTGTTGTTTATCCGAACTGAAGATGCTCCACGGTCGGATGATTCTACGACAACAGTGCTGTTTATCCAAACTGAAGATGGTCGCCGGTTGCCTTCATAGTGCTGTTTATCCAAACTGAAAATGCGTCGGCGAAAAGAAGAAAACAAAAATCTCAAGGTTGTTGAGAGGTTTCGCATAGAGCGAGAGAATGCGCATGGCAATTTATGTGTTGAATTGGAGGTCCTTCATGCGTTGCCATTGCCTCCGCATTTATAAGAACATATTTTTTGTTTGGCACGGCCTGGATCATAAGCAGAAACCGACTAAAACTCAAACTGATCTGTGGCATAGGCTTATAGCCTATCTTCAAATGGTTGACTTTTCAAAGCTAATAAAAACCTAAATAGGCTTATCACATCACATCAAAACTCCATCAGTAGTCATTCATAGCCAAAGACTCCCAATGCAAACTATAAAGCTACCTTTCCCACGACATCCGTGCAACCATGCATGCAATTTTATTGCAATATCAGCTAATCACTTGAGATGCCATATTCCATCAAAATAACACTTTGCACAGGAGTCCTAATTATGCATGTGTCACGTGGCCAAAGCAATACCACATATACAAATTGTATCCCAATATCTTTGCATGCTGTTATCTGATGCCATGCCTTAATGCTTATCCCTATATTCCATCACCATTCAAATCAATTGGGATTTAGACAAATATTAGGTTTAAATAATTTAATACATTACTAAGAGATAATATCATAATTAAAATTACAATATTATTTCTCAATAATAATTTAAAAACATTTCAACCACTTTGTTGGTCTAAAATCCTGCTCATTCAACGACCTCGATTACTTGGGCCGATAGTGTAAAAATAAGTCCAAACAGTTTCACTCTCAAATCCCTAAACCCACATACACACAAAGCTCTCACTCATGCAAGGAACAAATGGAAAAGATGGAAACATATACCAAATCCCTTACAAAGAATAAATGGAGAAGATGGAAAGATATACCGAATCCCTTCTTTTCCAAAAGCCACAAAACCTAACACCAATATCTTTGACCGAGTGATTACTAACAAAAGGGGAGCAGCGTTTCCTTTTTCTGACTAATTGGAGCTGTCGGCAGACGGCTCCTTTTTCTCTCATCCGCTGCCGCCCAAACCAAAAGGCATAAAGAATGCCTTACATAACCCCTAGCCCGTTATGGGCTATTAAACAACCAAACATTGGGCTTTAGACAAAGCCAAAGGCCCAATCAGAATTAAGACAGTAATTCAATAAGAATTTACATAATCATGTATTAGAATGTATATCACAACATTGAGTAATTTGTTTAGCAAGTGTATCAAATAAATAAACAGTTTATTTTAAATATGTTAATTATACTTATAATGTCAATTTGTTTACATTTAGATGACAAATTTCTAGTTTAAAAAATAATTTGTAAAATTATCTTCAAATGAACATTTTTTTAACAAACAATATTATCTACACTAAGAGTGAGATAGTCAGTTTAGTCTCACAATAAAATTGTAATAACGTAGTTAAAAATACAAGTAACATCTTCACAATTAACTGTTTATTGTTTTATGCATATTCGTAACTATACCATTTTCAAATTGAATGATCTTTTTACAAATATGATCTTTAATTAGATGATAACAAAAATGAAGTGTTTTAATTTTACGTTTGTATGCTAAAAACATCGCTTCCAATTATAATATTTGTACGACAAAATTAATTGTACGTGGGAGACAATTAGATTTTCATAATGATAATCCTTATTTTTATGACGTTGAGGGGTGGATGCGAATGTCACACGTCCTTTGAAGAAATGTCAGCCGAGATCTGATGATATATCTACCTCCGTCCTCCAATCCACAAAAGTCCAATCCACACCGTCATCTGACGATGGCCGGCGCAGGATTGCGACACGGCCCTGCACCACTAATGGCACACGTGTCTAAGCTTAGTCTCTGCATGGCCGCAACTATTCGCAGCTCATACGGCCGACACTTTTTATCAGCAGTCGTCTTATCGCAATTCTAACACCTGTCCAACGTATCAGTCTCGTTAAATAAGCAAGCTGCAACCTTCGTCGTCTTGATTCTATCTTTGTCTGGTATCTTCAAACAGCGAAGAAAAATAACAAAAAAGAATCAAAGGAGTGTTTGTTTCCCGGGAAAATAATGGTGGCAATGACGACGGCCAACACGACCGAGGAACCAATTTTGTTCAGGATGGACAGACTCGATACAATTCTGAGGCAGTTGGAGGAAATCCGACGCTCGCAGTCGCATTCACGTTCACATACTCATACGCCAAAGAGTAGCTCGCTTACGTCCACACCCTCGAGGACGAGCGGGACCCTCACGAGCGAGGGAGGGAAATTACCCTCATCCGCGGAGTTGATCTCTCCCGAGAGCCTAGAGAAGCACTGCCGTCCGATTGAGCACGTGATGATGGAGACCGACGCCAAGGGGTCGCTGATCGAGCGGCTGGATCACGTTGAGGACCGCGTGCTGAAGCTGTGCGTGCAGCTGGAGGAGGAGTTTATGGAGAGTAGTGCCGAAAAGAAGAGAGGTGACGAGGCGGAGATGATCAAGAGGAGTGAGAAAGAGAGAGAGGAGATGATCAGGAGGAGTGAGAAAGAGGAGAAGATTGATATCAGTGAGGTTGAGAGGACTCAAATTGATGTGATTAAGAAAAAGAAGAAGAAGGGACTGAAGCAACTTATTAAGCAGTCTGTTATGGGAAAAGGAAAACCCAATAAATCAACTAACCTTTGATTGATTAGGGATTTTTTTTTTCTCTCTGGACTTCTGTATTTTGTTTTTTAAAGTTCTTTTAGTTCTCCAACTTCTCAGCCTTAGTTTGGAGATTGATGAGTGTGTAATTAATCAAGCGAGAACGTAACTGGTGTTGAATTAGACTAGTGTTTTTCTTTTTTGATAAAATGCTTTAATTTCTATTGAAGTTTTTGACCTGTCATCAATTGAAGTATTAGAAACATGAGCAGATGGCATTTCTGTAAAATTATAATTGATTTCACAAAGCTACAAACATATCCCAAGTAAAGCATCCAAGTCAAGTGACTTGGGAAACTAGTAACCTAAGAGCAGTTCTACCGTGGGCAATAGCCCGATGGACTGGCTCTCAAACAGGGCCAGATAGCCCAAGCAATGAGGTCCAGTGTATGCAGGCGATTGAGCCCAAGCAAGCCCGAGGAAGAGGCTCGGCACGAGTAGCCAGCCCGAGAACCCGAAGGCCACGTGACGCAAGGCTGACGTCTGGGCGACGTCAGCCACGTGGTGGATAGGCCTGAATAGAGTCGAAGAGCGGCAACACCCTGATGCGGTGGTGGACGAGCATGGAAAGCTCTTCGCAGAGGTCGATCTCAACACCGGTGACGTCAATATCTTGGAGACGGAGGGCGAGCTTCTCGCCGACGTGAGAGGCGACCTTGGCGTCCCAGAAGGTTTGGGAGCGAGGGAAGCGGTTGAGATTGGATGGGTAGAGGACGACAAACTCTTGCTCGGAGGAGGAGGCCATGGTTATGATTGAGGAGCTGCTGCGGCTCGTCACCTGTGCTGTGATTTTGCGGCATGAGAGCACCAGGCGGAGGACATGGTGGTTTCTCGACATTGCAATTTGCAGAGAATGATAGAAACAGAGAGAGACGGAATTGGGAACTATTCGGTTCTATTATGTTCAATTCTATTAAGTCACCGCTAGGTGGTGTTTGAGTCTGTTTTACTTTTCTTAAAATAATTATTTTGTATTATTTTATAAATAAAAAAATACTATTATTTTATTGCTTATTGTTAGGGCTATTCAGTGTAGGGATGGAGATACAAAATGCAATTACTGTTTATTAAGGGCAGTTATTGTTCACTGGGTGGATTAAATAGTGAATAGCCCTAGGGGGCCTTAGCAACGGTGGAGTTGCTCTAAGCTCATGGGAATTTACAAAACTTAGCTCATGAGAATTCATCTCCTACATTAACAGCCCCTAAACTTGGTGGTCTTGGAGCAACAGGTTTGGAATGTAGAATTTCAAAGTGAGGATTGGAAACTGGACTTTGTGAATATTCAAATACACATGTTTACGAACAAATTATGGTTAAGCTCAATTTGTTTCATCTGAGCATGAAAAAATGGATCGGTAGCTATATAAGTAGTGTTAAGATTATCACAAAACATAAAGGTGGGTGAAGTAACAGGAAAACGAAGCTCGCACAGAACATAGGAAAGCCAATGGATTCGGCACAAGCACGAGCCAATGAATGGTATACAGATTCCGCCCTAAATCGAGAGACTGTCCGCTGTTTAGTGGAGCTTTAGGAAATCAAATTCAGTGTAGGGAAATATAAGAAAACCTGAAGTGGAATGATATGTGTCCGGACACCTAACCCAATTAGCATTAGAAAAGAAGAGGACTGGAGGAGCAAAGGAAGGAAATCCCATGGTCCAGGGAACGCTTAACATATTGTAGGATGCGTTAGCAGTAATGAGATGAGTCTGTGTGAGACGAGACATGAACTGAGATATATGATTAACTGTATAGGTGATATCTGGGCGAATCAAAGTAGGATACTACAAAGAACCCAAAAGATGAGGAATTTTCATGAGACCGAAGTGGTGTGCCATCCTGATTAGATAACTAAGCACGAGAGGCAATGAAGTTCTACATGGCTTACAATCAGTCATATTTGTCTTTTTGAGTAAATTAATAGCACACTTGGTTTGAGGTAGATGAAGACCAACCGAGGTAGGACGAATCTCAAGACCCAGAAAGTAATGAAGAGGACCAAAGTCTCTCAAATTCATGTCTCAAGAGATCTAGCCGAAGAGCAACCAAAATTATTACAAGTTAACATAATATCATCCACATAAAGTAAAAAAATAAGATGGGTTATACCACGATGGAAAGTGAAGAATGAGAGGTCGACAAGACATTGCACAAAGCCTTGACGGATGATGAATGTACTGAAGCACTGAAATCAAGCTAGGGGAGCTTATTTGAGACCATAAAAAGCCTTGTGTAATTTTACAAACCCGATGAGAGTGACGAGGATCTACAAAACCCGGTGGTTGGACCATAAAGACATTCTCCTGTAAGTGGCTAGGCATTTTTTACGTCTAGTTGGCCAATGGATTACCCATGAGTGACTGCTAAAATAAGAACAAGACAAATAATGGCAGGCTTAACAAACATATTGAATGTCTCATCATAATCAAACATGTTGAAACCAAATTTGTGCACATCCGCAAGCAAATGTGAAATCCAGTCAGAATAGCACATGATCTTCGATGAGGGAAGAATGAGGTTGATTGGATGGTATGATTGAATGGACTGCCTACATAAAGGGAAATCAAACCACGTGTGTAGTTTTAAGATAGAATAGAGTGGACCATCCTTGACGAATAGCCTATGACGGCGCGTTAAGGAGACGAGTTTTCCATGGACGTGTCTACGCGTAGACGGCCACGTAAGGGTCTTTGTTAGGCATAGAGAATATGTGTGTAGAAGTTTGAGAGAGAGATAGATGTGTCCCCCGTCCTCCGTTAAATACCCAAGCTAGTGTATTTATGGAGACCTTTGAGAGTTCTTGTAGGAAAAGTAATCAGGAGACTAGAATCATGATTATGTTGCCTAATCCTTAATATATCCTAATTTGATAGTAATTAGGATTTCCTTACTTGAAGGACAAGTAATATCTTTAATAGGTCTTCATTCTGGCTTACCAGACTACGCTCAATGGGCTTCGTGTATTCCGATCCTTTTTGTCACCAATCATGTGCCTAGAAAATCGTCCCCACAATTGGCCCTAACTATGCTTATAAGAATGCGCTTCCACTTCGAAGATAGATAGTTACCAATATACAGTGAGTGAATTATCCTAGAATAATTTCTCTAGAATGTGCATTGGAAGCTTATTTAAGTCATTAAGCCTGTCAGAGTAAAACACTTTACTCTTTTCATCCTTCATAATTGCGGAATATAATTTAATCTGTCAATCTTTCCGAAGTAAGCTAACTTCAAAGTAAGGAGTACTGAGGCGAAACACGAGTAAGTTGTAGGCCCGACACAGAGCTCAAAGCCCCCCAACAATGACATTGATTCGGAAAAACGTCACCTCCCAAATTTAGTATTTATTAAAATTACCATCGAGGTATTCGAAGTTCCACCTTAGTCCAGTACCAAGTATTAAATATTAAACCAATGAAAAACCTTTTACCCTAGAATTGCAGTATTGCATTGATCGGATTAAGGATGAAAAAGTGTCGAATTATATCTGGAACGACCTCCAGATTTTAATGACAGTCTAACATGTTTGAGCAGTTGTTAATTCTGTTTGTTCTTTCATCTTGCCCCATTCTAGGTGAAAGGCTGATAACCTGAAAAGTCCGTATTGTTGAAAATTTTGAGTAGAAATTTCTTATGTGGGGTTTGTCCTAGGGGTGGGCAAACGGGTCCTGGACCCGCGGGTCGGGGCGGGTACCCGCGATTTGGGGCGGGTAAGGGGCGGGTCCTAAATTTCAAAACACAAAACGGGGCGGGGCGGGGCGGGTACAAGAAATTAGCGGGGCGGGGCGGTTCTAGAAATAGGAGGGAACGGGCCCCCGGCCCGGCCCGTTTCTAGCAAGAATAATTGGTTTTATCCTCATTTCAGTCTTCTCAGTTCTCATATACTCATAGTCACTCACTTTTCCTTTTTCCCAACTCGATCTCTCATCCCGACTCGCTCTCACTGTCCCAGCTTCGTCTGCCGCCGCCATCATCAGCTCCGTCCGCCGCTGCCATTATCAGCTCCGTCCGCCGCCGCCATATCAAACCTCGATCCAGGGAAGTTGAAATCGTCTCTTCGTTTTTTTTTCATTCAATTTATAGCGAATTTCTTTGTTTGATGTGGCTTTAATTTTTGAATGCATGCAAGGAATTGGGATGGGGAATGCAATCATGGTCGATGATCTGGAGCTCCTTGTTTTCTAATGTAATCTTAAACCGCTGCTGCTGTGTCTCTCTCTCACTCACTTTCTCGAAATCAGTCTCTCTGTCGAACTCGAATGGACGAACGACGAAGTCAAACAACTCAAAACGATGAATCAATCATCTCATCCACCTGACTCAGACTCATATTTGCAGCGCAGTCGAGCTCTGTTAACAGTCCTCTTCAGTTAAGGTAATATGTTTTAGGGATTTAGGATTTAAAATTAAATTAAGGTTTTCTAGATTTAGAGATTTTGTTGGGTTTTGAAATCTTGACCTCTGTTATGTTCCAATTTCAAATCTTTTGTTCAAATGATTTGGGTGGAAAGGGTCGAAATCTGGGATTAAGCATTAACTGGTATCAGTTTGTGAACCATTGTTAAAATGAGATCATATTAATATGTGCTGATGTGCATTTGTGCTTCAACAATCTGTGCTTCAATATTTCTGTAATTGTAAGTGTAATATGTGCTGTTGTGCACTGCAGTGCAGCGGCAGGCTGCAGCTCCATTTTATAAAATGATGTATTAAAAAAAAAAAAAAAGTTGGACCCGTGGACCCGCCCCGAATCGGCCCGTTTCAAACGGGCCGGGTTAGGTCCGGTTCCAAAACTCAAAATCTCTTTACCCGGCCCGTCCCGCCCCGTTACTATTTAAAACGGGTAAGGTCCGGTTCCTTCAAAATTGGGCCCGGCCCGGCCCGTGCCCAGCCCTAGTTTGTCCCACATTGACCATTCCCACAAGGTCTCCACACTTTATAAGGCTTTATCTCTTATAGAAAGTGATTGGAAGATAGGCCTTGGAGAAGAAAATTGGGCTCACCCTTGGGGTTGGGCTTTGGGGTGTATTAATTAATTGGTAATTAATATATAATTAATTATAAATAATATATAATTAATATATATTTAATTATCAAAAAATGGGCTATAATAATTAAATTATTTAATTAATTATTTTTCGGATTTAATTAATTATTTATTTTTTATGAAAAGACTCATCCTTTCAGATGAAGTCTGAGAGTTCTTTCTAAACACAGAGCAAAGCACCCTTCTGAAGAGATGTCTCCCAACAGTCACACCCCATTCTCATACCTGTTGCAAACAGGCATCCATATGCTATATATACATCCATCTGCATGGCATTGAAAACACAGAAAATAATCAACTTCATCTTCTACATTCCTAAACCTTCTTACTGAGAGAAACACACTAAATTCGCCAGAAGTTAAATTTTCCGGTGCTGGAATTTTAATTTGATCGTTGAATCCTGGTGAAGCAGACGTCTGTAGAACTACAAGCAGAGAGTAGGGACGAAATTTCTGTTTCAAGGACATTGCGGTACGCAAGCCTCGATCTTCAAGTTGTCTGTTTTTATAATTCGTATTCTAGTTTATATTCTGTCAATTCCTATTGCATTTATTATTTATTAGCATATATTTAAATCACAGATTGTTGACTTATATCCAACAGTCCGTACAAAATTCTTTTTACCACACAAGAATACAAGTAAAAAGGCTGCCACTGATTTTGATGATACTAGCGATGGGGGAGGAGATTGGGAGAGATTGCGATAGCTTTGGGTACATGCACTACTGATTGCAACAGAGGAGGAGATTGCTTGGCGAGTGTGCTGCTTATTCTGGTGGGATTAGATGTGTCCAAACCGCTACGGTGAGGGATGAAGACAAAATTCCTAGGTGGCAATGAGGATTGGGAATGGGTGGACTTAAGGTACGAAATGTTGCCAAACATATGTTATATGTGTGGGAAATTTGATCATCACGATGTAGAGTGTGAGGAAACTCTGACCCTAAAAATTACACGTATTGAGCCGAAGTAATCTACGAGCTAACTACGTCTTTCTATGGATGATTGTTAATGCGCGTGTGCCAATTCATTACCGAGCTTGGTCAAATGAATAAGTGATGGTATGATAATGAAACACACTTTCAATTTCTACACCAAGAAACTTCGACTAAGGAAGGAACACTCTCGGCATTGGGCTCTAAAACATGAAGACAAGGTTTCAACTATATTTGTGAAAATATATGTACGCCGAATCGGCGTTCTGAAGACCTAACTCTAAATGATACTTGTGAATGAACCGACAGATCACTTCACTGAGAGAGTTGATGAAGTGACCTTTTTCGATGAAACAACTAGAGATTCTTAGCCACCTGAAACTTGGGATAGATAACCAGTAAAAAAAGGAGCAGGTGTTGTTTAACCAACCGAAGAAACTCTTAGACCGAGCTAATTCTACGACTCCAATGATTTTAACCAAACTGAATTTGTGTTGTTGTCAATCAATTGATGTTTAACCAAATTGAATATAGGTTGACGTGTTAGTGAAGCAATTACTATTTCTTAGGGTATGAGAAAGTTTCGCGTAGAGTGTTAATTTGTGTGTTGACTGAAGGTCCTCTCTACGTTGTAAAACCACTTTTATTTATAGGGGTGAATAACCAAATTTGCCTAAGTAGAATCATACTAGGATAAAAAGTCCACAGTTTATATTGAGTACACTCAATATTATCTTTTGTTGGAAAATATTAGGATTTTAGTTTATTTGAATATTTGGTTTTCTGGGCTTAGCCCGTTAGCATTAGGGTTTTGATTTCTTACCTTTTAGGGTTAAGGTTAGTTTATTATAAATAGCATGCTTGTTATTCAGTTGAGAAATAAGTTAGTCACAATGTAGCCTCTTAGGGTTTTGGAGCCGTCTCGGCATTCTCAGTTTGTTTAATAATATTTCTATTATTTTGTTAGTCTTGTTCGTCGTGCACTCTGATATTCAACTTGGTATCAGAGTATGTTTGATCTTTCGGGATTTAATCCGTTCTTGATAGGTATCCATGTTGTTTGTTTGATATTAGTTTTCAGTGTTAGTTTTGAGAAGAAAAAAAATTGAAAATGTTTGCTTTGAACCACCACTAGAATCCCATTGCCATAGCACGCGGTCGTCACCCTGCCCTGCAATCAAATTTGAGGATTGCTGCACTTGTTTGGAGAAAACAAGAAAAAAAAAGAAAAAAAAAAGGAAAAAGGAAAAAATTTGTTTGGAGGTTTTGACGCCCACATGGGCAAGGAAAAGAAAATGGCTTGTTTGCTCATTTTTTTTTGTGTTGGAAGCCCACACGGATGAGTTTTGCTGTGGAGTTTACTCGTTCGTTATTCAAGTGCTTGGATCCGTGATCACTCGAGTGATAGTTGTGTTTGTTCATTTTTTGTTACTATTGAGATATGGAAATCTCATTAGTTTAGTGACGGGTTCTCTCCATTCTCTCAACACTAACCAGTTTGAATCAGAATCAGTTTGCTAGTAAGAATTACGAATCAAGTCAAGTTTGTCAATCAAGTCAAGTCAAGTCAAGAATCAAGTCAAGTCAAGTTTGTATGCACTCTTGAGTTTCGATTCATGTTTACTTTTGGGCAACTTGGCATTTAAATTGAATGAACCAAAAAAGAATAAATTTACAAAAACAAACAAATGTATACCTAAATCATTTTTTTAATATATAAAAACCTTTACTTCTCCACTCCATCTTTTTAGTCTTTTATTAAAAAAATAAATACACGAGTTCATGGAATATCAAATCAACAGTGTGGTCAATTCAACAAGAAAAGAGAGATGCGACCAAATTAAAGCCACATAATTTGATCTAAATTAATTGATAAATGCATGTGGCCCAATATTTGAGTAGACATGTTATTGAGTTTCTACTTTTTCGAGTTTGAAACTCTCGTTTCTATTTAATTATTGTAATAGTTTCGAATAATAAATTTAAAAAAATGGCAAATGGAAATTAAACTTTTATCAGTGTTTCTTGATGCACAATAATTCTTGAAATTGTTTACAACTGATACATGAGTATATTGACTCATCAAAGAAAATGAACTAATCCTAAACTTCAATCCATCTAATCAGCAACTAATTACACCTCAGAAGTATTCATCGATCCCACAGATGGATCCAGAGGCGACGTTCTGCAAATCGGGCAAGAAGGGTGGAGCTGCAACCATTTATCCACACAAATTTGGTGAAAAAAATGGCCACAGTTAGGCACACATCTCAATGTATCTGTGTCATCAAAATCTGCCAAGCATATGCAACAGCAAGAAGGCGCTGAAACTGAACCAACCATTTGAAGCTTGGCCTCGGAGTAGGGCAGTTTCGGGTAGCTGCATATTGTAGCTTCATCAAGCCCTTGTTCTATGGTTGCGGAGCCCTCGTCATGGTCCGACGGGTCAACCGGAGATTGTCTCCGCTTGCAGTAAGAGATCCAGTATATGAGTATGATTATGGCGATGACGCCAATGCAAACTCCAGCGGCATCATATATTTCGTCAGCGTCGACTGGCATGTTGATTTTGGCTTAATTACCTCAACCATGTAGAAGAAGAACAAGGGTGCATTTTTTTTCATTTTTTTTAATTGATTGTAGAAAATGATTAATGCTAAATATTGTGAGGTGGAAAGGGCGGCGATTTAGAGATGTGTTTGTTTTGGATTTGGAGGTATTAGTTGGTATCTGGGGTGTGCCCAAGTAGTGGAGATTGTATCTGATTCTGTTAATAATATATAGTTTCTATCATATTCTTAACAAGGCAATTTGTCCCCACTTTATATAATAAACGAATTGTTATCTGGGGTATGTCACAAGTAGTGGAGTTTGTATCTGATTTTGTTAATTATATATAGTTTCTATCATTCTCTTAACAATGAAATTTGTACCCACTTTATGTAGTAAACCATTTATGCTTATTTTATTTATATTATTTATTAATACCATTTGTACTATATTTTTAATAGAGATAGAACTTAAATGTGGTAGTTGTCCTACCTATATTAGAAAGATAATACAAATAAATTATTAGCATAGCACTACTCTTGTTTATTTGAAGAAATATTGATAAAATGACCGAAATATTGAGCAAAATGCAATTACATTTTGAATCAATTAAGATTTTGTGTTTTTAAGGAGCGGTCAATGAATAGAAACTTTTGCAAGTGTTATTGACCTATGTTTTTTCAAGAAGCGGTCAATGAATAGAAATTTGAGCAAGTGTTATTGACCTATGTTTTAGAGAAAAAATAGTTTTTATTTACCTTAATGGAAGCGAATAGTTGCTTCAACTGACCTATGCTAGAAAATTAAATGCTTATTAACTTAGCACAATATACGAAATTATTTATTAAGTTAAACCAAATAACTTGGGAAGCATTTTTGCTCACCACCATTTAGTTTGGTGTGCACCACCTTATTTATCACCGATAGATGAGTTTGAATTTTGAGATTCGTGTAGTGGATATGGATGAAAGGAAGTCCATAGGTATTCAATTAAAAATTTAAAGGAGTTCATAAAACCACATAGGAATCTGCATGTATTTAATCAAGATTTTAAAAAAGTCTATTAAACTCCATTTGTATTCAACTATAAGTTGATTGTTAAAGTATTTTAAAAATTAAGAATTTTGAAGAATTTTATAGGGTATATTAGGATTTAGGAAATCAAGCATCTTTCTCTAAGATTTTGACTGAATTCACATGGAGTCTATAAAACTCCACTAGAACTCTATCAAACTTCGTGAATTTATGACTCTTTAAGAACTTTTAAATCTCAATTGAATACACATGATATGTGCACAACTTTTTTCTTCTTAGAGCATCTCCAATTGGGAGATGCAAATTTGGGGAGAAAAAACCATATTTATATCTCATTTTACATTTCATGATATGTAAATAAGTTCTACGTCAATGAAAGAGTTGTAAATTTGAGATACTATTTAATTTTCTCTCATTAATTGACGGAACCCACTATCAAAAGATATAAAAGATGTAAATTGAAGTTTTCAAAACATATAATTTACATTTCTCAATTGGAATGTTTTTCGAGGCTAACAAAAAAAAAATGTAAAATACGCATTTCAAGGTATTTTATACTTCTCATTACCGATGCTCTTATGTGCATACCCATATGTACTTTATTGGGAAGTGATTTTCCCACAATATTTTTAGTTTCTTAGAGCATCCCAAAATGAGATGTCGAATCTAATATTTTAAAATTTTATCTGATAGCAGATATGGTCTATTAAATACAAATGTTAAATTTTCTTCTTTTTTAATGAATGTGTCAAATATTCATTTTATTATTATATTGGACATTAGCTATTAAAAAATAATTAAAATTGTTTTTAGTTTTTGTTTTATTGGATGTCAATAGGACTCATGAATTAAAATTAAAATTATATATTTGACTCTTTCTTTGTTTGCTATAATAAAAATACAGCTAAAAAATAAGGAGCTAGATAACTGGGTTATCACATCATGTATGACATCTCCATTGGATAACATCCGAATATCTTTCAATCCTATTTGACTTTGACATATCCTTTAATGATGGTCTTACATACCAGTGTAATTCTAGCCGTTGATTTTATTCTATTCTATGATTATAAATATAAAAAAAAAAGTGAGAAATTAGAAAGAAAGTGTAAAATTCACTTTATTTTTATTAGTTTGATTCAAAGCAAAAAGTTAAAAGAGCGCACAAAAGAAAGGAATAAGTGTGTTAAGGTTGCTTTCCTAGCTATTTCCTTCCCTAAACGACGAGTTAACTTTTTTGGGGGTGTATGTACCAATTTCAAATATGTGGTGCTGTGTTATAGTGATGGAGATCGCAGCAACATGTAATAATTGTGAATAAAACTAACAATAATTATGTTTTTTTTTTTTTTTTGTCAATCTATCAATATTATTTTAGTTTCAAAAAGTTATGAACATTATTGAGGTTGGCTAATTAACTTGCAAAATATGCGGTGAGACTGAGTCAGTCTGGTCCTCCGTCCATCCCGACGGGCAGTCTCACAAGAACTGCATGAAAGAGCAATCTGAAAATCACGTATGAAAATCTCCACATGCATAAAAAAACTACCAACTTAAGGAAACCCTAAGCTAATTAAGAATCTCCACAAATTAAAAAGGGTAAATTCAGTAGAATCACACTGACTCATATTTTCTGAGAAGTTAATTAAGCCGCATATATTTTGGAAAATCATGGTGCTATGAGCTCTAGGTGGGATTCACCTCCAAGGCTCCAACTCTTGTTTCTTATTTTTGTTGTTGTAGAGAGTGGTTGGGCATAACCATATACCTAACCTGTTCGTCTTTTTCTTCTCGGTTTTGGCTACTTGTCCCCTCGTTGTAATTTTTTCCTTTTTAATAAATTGTGGTAGCCATGAATGTTTGAGGGTCGTCCTCTAGCCATGCCTATGCTAGACTAAAAAAATGTGACTTACAATCGAACCAATGAATATTATGAGGGTGATTATCAGGAACGGAGCCATAAATTTCTTCTAGTGGGGGCAACTGAAAACAACTAAGAAAACCTTATTATAGTATGGTTATACACAATATGATATTAAGGATTGTTTCAAATGATGATATATCATAATTCCAATATTACAAAAATTTCAATATAGTAGTGGAAAATGACAAAGTGATGAGAAAAATATAAGTACATGATAGGCGGGAGGGGGTTTTTTTTGGTTTGAATGACAGAACAAGAGCATTATTGCTCATATAATATTTGATATGAAGTATAAGTAGAATGAATGTATGTTGAATATTAAATACATATATTTTCTTAAAAAATAACTCGTGTATATTATATAATTGTAGTCTACAACTAAACAAACGAATAACTTGAGTGGGGGCATCTACCTCCAGTGAGCCTTCATTGGCTCCGTCCATGGTGATTATAATGTCTTTCATGTTCTAAGTATGGTGAAGATGAGCCTTTTCAAATTTGAATTTCATTTAAAATTGACACTATAAATTGAATATGCTTGTGCTTGGAATACCAAAAAGTTCCATTAGGTTCTCACTCCAATCATATAATGGATCATCATCCAAAAACCTTTGAAAATTCAATTAGTAATGATACAAATAATTAACATGAATGAATGAGTAGATCTGGGCGTGTTAGTGTCAAAATCAGACAGAACCTGACTTATGTCAACATGTGACTTGTCTTGGGTGTTGCTTTCTTTCTCAGTGCCAAGAGATGGCTTGAGAGGAAGTATGAGAGTAGGCGTGCCAGTGTTGGAGGCTGTCAACATACAGCCAATGTCTAGTGGTTTGTAGGTTTGCGATTAGATCTGACTCTTTAACCAAAATGATTGAGCACTGAATGAGACGCTAATTTAATTAGGTTAATTTTTATGTCTCTGAGACCAAGGACTTAAATCCAGTGTGTTATTCTTTGCCCAGGAGCGTAAGTGGAAGAAAATAGAAACGAACAACTTATTGTAATCATTTCATAGTTGAAGCAAGATTAACAAGCATTTAACAAAAAGCTGGTGAACTGATGAGCTACTATATATAACTTGAAACATTGAAATGTAGATACACTTTGAAATGTTAAGAAAACAGTAAATTGTTAAGAGTCAAGCCATAGAGGGCAGGATAATGCTAGGAGAATCCAACGATAAAGTTGGTATAAAACTAGACTAAGAAGGAAACATTGCCTCAGATAGGTGTGGTGGTTGGAATTAAATTAATTAGCCAATATTCCTCTGAGAGAGATATCCAAGTTCGAATTAAGCTTTACGTAATTTATATTAGATAAATTAGCTAATATTATACACAGAGAGGGGGTTCGGGATGAATGATCTTCTATTTGCTTCTTTTGTCATTGGTAGATCGATAGAGTAAAGATTGAGTTTCATTCAATTAGGCCATCTCCTCCAAAGAGAGACACCAAATACAATATAGTGCAATATTACATAAAACACAAACATCCTTTGCCAGGTCACCATGATACAAAATGAGGAAAAAAATGCATAAAAACTAAGTCGAGTTTTTATGCCTGTACTAATAACAGGAGTGAAAAAATACAAGGGTTTAGGGTTAATCATGGGATATGTTGACTGTCTCAAGTATTCCTGTAATACTAGGCTGATAAAACCTACTGTGGTGAACGACCCTTGAGAAAACGCCAAGGTCCAGTTCCAGTCCCCATCCTGCAAATGTAGTATATAGCAACCTAGCTCAGTTCAAGTAATTCAAATCATAATGTGGAAAGGATCGTTGGAAGAGGTCTCAATTTTGAATTCCTTTCCTCAATCCATTGCTAAGATAAATAAATTATAGTTGGTCTAGTGGTATTTCTCTTTCTGATATTGTAAGAGAGATAACAATTTCAAATCTCTACTCCCATTGTTAGTTCTAAAAAAATAGAAGGAAGGATAATTACCTCCATACACCAGCAAATGTACGTAACGCCATATAAATGGTTAAAGCAATCCAGATTCCAACAAAACCATGGGATTTTGAGAGGAGGAACAAGGATACAATGCTTG